TCAAATTCAACCTTCGTTATTTATATTCAACACTTATATTTGCATTCAACTACAAAATTGTGTTCAAATTCTACCTTCGTTATTTATGTTCAGCACATCATATCTATTCAACTTCAATGATACATATTTCTATTCAAGGCTGCCTTCGTTTATCTATACGCATTATATAATTCGGCATGCAACAACAACTTGTATCCAACTTCAACCTTCGATTTATGTTCAAGACCAAGACCTAAATACTCGTTCAAGACTTCTTACGTAAGTTCCCGGACATTGGCGAATATTCATTCAACAAAAATTGCTCTAGCCTCTCCTCCCTTAAATATGCCCGCCATCTTGGATTCTGCACTGAAGGGGTGGTACTCGGTGGAACTGACGCTTGCTCGGCCTGCTCTGTCTTCTGGGTAAACTCCAAGATGGCTGTCATCGACAAGCCGAAGTAAACTGCAGCAACTAATGCAGTTTTGTACAGGGGGGAAAGGTATTCCCTCTGTGCCAAATTTCAAAGTTAAGGTTAATTTCCATGATGATAGTTACATCTCTTCCTCAACTTGCATTTTTTCTTTAGGAATCCCAAATTTCTTCCAAGGATATGGTATTTTTGAGGCATCAATGTTGTCAGCAATTTCTTCATCTGGAAAGTCCTTTACRAATGTGTAGAATGGTTATTCTAATCTATAGGAAAAAATATGTTCTATTACATCAGTTAAATGCCTTTAGTAAGTATACCAAGAAATATGTCTTTGGGTTGTGATCCCAAAACTAGTAAGTTGTAAATGAAGTTGAAACTACTTTGGGAAAGATAAGTCACTTGTAGTTTTTGGAATATGTTCAATTCTAATAATGAAAAATGCAGATGTTTGTGACTGAACAACCAGGAAATGCCTGGATAGCAGTAGCCTGCATAATAGTTATTTGTGTTCTGTTCTTAATTTCTGCATGCATTTTTATCCTTGAGGGGTTTTTGGTAGTGATTTCAATAATAACAGTTTGAGATTTAAATTCATATACAGCTATTTCAAAAAAGGTTGAATACTGAATACTGCATACTGAATAGTGCATTCCAAGGCCAAAAGGCATTGTGGGTCTCTAATTTGAAATAAAAAATTAAATAAACAGCAACATACTCTTTATATGTAGGAAGGTTATTGATTAAGATGGAATGCAATATAAATCCAATATATATTCATTATTTATCTTGCTTTAGACAATGTTACTATAACCCACAATGCATTTCAGTCTTGGAATACACTATTTGGTATGCAGTATTCAGTATTCAACCTTTCTTGAATTAGCTGTATGTTTATGTTGGAAGCTTCCATCATATTTTTTGTCAGATTCATATGTTCAGGCCATTTAGGGACAAGCTGCCCAAGTTTGAATGGAATTTGGGGGGGGGGGGGGGGGGGGGGGGGGCGGGGGGATGAAGGAGATACTGTAACAGTTAGCAATG